CCAGCTCTGAACCAGGATTGTCATTACAAGTGCAAGAATTCCCTTCATAAAATAATTAGCTTATGTATAAATATTTATGAAGTCTTATCTTTGTTCAAGGCATTGTGGTAGCTTCAGTGTATGCCTTGGTTAGCAAAACAGACATATCAAGTCCAGTGGGAAAGATGGATGTTCATTAAATACTTACATACTAGTAAGTATGTAGTATGGAGATGCTCTCTGCTCATCCACATGCCTCACCACTCTATGAAGCAAAGCTGTTTAGTTCTGCCCACAAGTCTTTGTTTCTGGAAATATGAGCACACTTGGCCCATGCAGATGGTAAATCTTATATGCTGAAGCATGCATAACCCTGAGAGCAGCCATCAAACAATGATGGATGGTGAATGGTGGATAAATACCCCATCTTCCTCTCCCTTTCTTTGGGATAGTTTTGAGATGTGGTCTTCTTCCTAGAGTTTCCCAGAGGGATTAGGCTCCAGTTGCCCATGGTGGTGACTTGCTTGTTAGGACACCCTTTATTGACTCTCTTTCTTTCTCTGTCTCATTTCTAATCCCAAACAATTTTTCCTGAGATCACTTCCAAATGCATTCAAATTGTCTCAGTATGGGATTTAGGGAAACCAAAGCTAAGACACATTAATATATTTTGATGAGTTCTGTGGAAGAAAAGAAAGGTTGCTGTAAAAATTTGTAATATAAAGTCAAGTCTGTGGGTTCAATGAAGGCTATTCTGAAAAAGTGACATTTGAGGGTGGAGTAAGAGTTAATTAGGTGAAGGCATCCAGGCTGAAGGAAATAGCAGTGTAGAGGTCTGTGAATAGGAGAGAGCATGGTATTTTAAAAAAATGAGGTGACACTAAAGGGAGTAATACAAATGGTTGAAACAGATGAAGCTGGACATAGAGGTAGGGTCCAGTTCACACACAGCCATGTAGACTATGCTGGAAACTTACATATTTATACAAAGACCAATGGTAAACCGAATAAAACCCTTTTAAACCAGAGGAGAGATATTGTCAGATTTACCTTAAAAATATCACTCTGGGTGTTTCATGGAGAGCAGATTGGAGTGGGATAAGAAGAGTAGCCTATGGTCCCTGGCAAGGTGGCTCAGTTGGTTAGAGCATCTTCCCAATATGCCAGGATTATGGGTTCAGTCCCTGGTCAGGGCACAGGGTACATACAAGAATTAACCAATGAATGCATAAATAAGTGGAACAGCAAATTGAAGTCAGTCTCTCTCCCCCCTCCCTCCCTCCCTCTTCTTCTCTCCCTCTTCCTCTCCCTTCCTGTCTCTATAAAATCAATTAAAAAAAGGATAGCCCACAAGGATTCATTTGCAATGGTACAAGCAATAGACAGTGATACCTTGGTCTTAGTGCTCCCTCCAATTGTGATAACCTATTATGTCATCAGACATTGCTGAATGTCCCTTTGGATACAAGATTGTCCTGCATAATAACTCTTTAGGGTGATTTCAATAACTTCTAAGGAATTCACAATTAGAGAAAGAGAGAGAGAGAGAGAGAGAGAGATGTGAGAGAGAAACATCAATCAGCTCCCTCCTGCATGCCTTCTACTAGGGGTCAAGCCCGAAACCCAGGCATGTGTCCTGGCTGGGAATCGAACCAGTGACCCTGTTTGGTGCTTTTTGTCTCTGTATCTATTTTTGTTCATCAGTTTATGATGTTCATTATATTCTACAATGAGTGAGATCATGCACTATTTATCTTTCTCTGACTGGCTTATTTCGCTTTGCATAATTCTCTCCAAGATTTATTCTTAATCGTAGATATGTTAAAGAATTAAAATCCAGGAAAATGAAAAGTTCACTCACTTTTATGGTTCAAAATGATGTTTCATGACATACTTTTTTGACCCTCTGAAGTACCCCCACCTCCCCTGAACCACTTCCTTATTATGTGGGTCAACTGAACAATCAGGTTTCTACTTATCCACTTCCCAAATCTTTAACTTAGTCTTCATATCTAATAAAAAATGCCATTGTTCCATTTTTCTTTCACCATTTCTTTTATATAGGCCAACTGCTACCACCCTGATTGTGGCCTTTGTTTTCTTCATTTTGTTTCTCCCACCAATCCTCAAAGTCCAGGAAGATGACATTATCTTTCATTTTAGTTTTTCCTGCAGGACTTTTAGATTGTTATATTTTTTAAATTAAATTTATTGGGGATATATTAATCAGATCATACATGTTTTAAGTATACATTTCTATGATAGAAGATCTGTTCGCCCACCACCCAAAGTCAAATCATCTTCCATCACCATATATTAAGCCCCCTTCACCCCCAACGCCCTTTCCTCCAGCAACCACCACACTGTTAGTGTCCATGAATTTTCAGTTTTATATACCACATAAATCATATGGTTCTTATCTTTTTCTGTCTGACTTATTTCACTTAGCATAATGTTATCAAGGTCCATCCATGTTGTTACAAATGGCAGCCCTTCATCCTTTCTTAGTATCCCATTGTGTATAGGTACCACATTTACTTTATCCAGTCCTCTATCACAGGGACACATTGGTTGTTTCCATGTCTTGGCCACCAGTAACAATGCTGCAGTGGACATAGGGGTGCATATATCTTTATGAATACAAGTTATCGAGTTTTTGGGTATATACCCAGGAGAGGGATAGCTGGGTCAAACGCTAACCTATTTTCTTTCTTTCTTTTTTTTTTTTTTTTTTTTTTTTTGAGAAATCGCTATACTGTTTTCCATAGTTGCGATACCAGTCTACACTTCCACCAGCAGTGAATGAGGGTTCCCTTTCCTCCAAAACCTCTCCAACACTTGTTATTACTTGTCTTGTTGATAATAGCCATTCTGACAGGTGTGAGGTCGTATCACGATACTTTGCTCAAACAGCTGAGGCCAAATTGGCTTCTTCCTCTGGACTTTCACAGCACATGTTGCTTTTTAGACTTTGGTAATTGATGAATTGAGAGACGATTTCCCAATTTCTATCATGTGTATCCTTTCTCCTCTCTTAAATTATAAGCATTTTAAAGGAAGCTCTTCAAACTTACATAGGCTTACCCAGAGTAGATAGAATAGGTCATAATACTGACTGTTCTTTTTCCAACTGTTGAAATTTCATAGGGCAAGCACCTGAAAACCTACCTTGGTGGCAATGCTTCCAAGGAGAGATGGTGACATCACTGCGAATGAGCTTGACCCAAATGATGTTAACTACGGTATATTGCTTCATATTTAATTAAAAGTAAAAAAAGAAGGCTTTTTATAAAACAACTAATCTGAGCTGATGACTAAAAGAGAAATATTTAAAGGTCTTTTCCTGCTCTCCATTGACTCAGTATAAATAGGAATGATATGCACATAGTGAGGAGAGAATGTGGTGCCTTGAATAGAGATTTTTGTAGCACATTTTTCACTTACTTTAATGAGTTGTGTGTATGGCTAAATGCGTTAGTGCAGTTGGCAGAATGTCTTTTTTCAAAGCATCAAGAATTAGCCTAAAGTCTCAGTGAATATTGGAAATGGGGCAGGAATAAAAAAAGTTTTTGTTCAGAAAGCCTGTTGACCTGGGGAGCACAGAGTTCCCAACAGTTTCAGTAGGAATGGGATCATCCTAAAACATTGAGGAACTATTGCATGTTTCTGGGTAATTGCAGTGAAAGAGAGTGTGAGAAGTGCCCCAGCAATGAAGAATTTTCCATCGGGTTGCTTTTTCTTGCTGGGTAAAACCTCTGAATTCCCAGATTTTTATATTTAGTTATAAGACATGTCTTTCCCTGGAAAAGGGTCTTGGAGATTATTTAGGGTTTTGATCAGGTGTGAAAATGTGTCAATTTTTTCTACCTAACAAAGGTCCTTAAGGCATCATCCTTATGGCAAGAATAAAAAATAAAGATAGTGCAAGTTAGTCAGTTGATCACCAGATATTCATTACTTGCCTTCTATGTATGATGAAGTGTTAGGTGTTGTCACACATTTAATTTAAAGGTATAATCCCCATCCTTAAGGAATTTGCAATTATCTGAGCAGTTTTAAAAACTCTGTAAATAAAATTGACAATATGTAAGTGTCAAGTGCGTTATAATAAAATAGAATGCATTTAGGATACTCATAGAAAATAGCCCTAAGTTAATCATCATTACAAATTCAGTAGAAAGTACTCTTGATTACTGTTTACTCATACGGGAAATGGGGGCATAGAGAGATTAACTAACAAGAACAAGGTCACAGAGTTTAACAGTGGAGCAGGAATATGAACCCAAGGAATCTTACTTTAGAGTCTGTGTGCCTAAAACATTAATTTGTATTGGTATAGAAGAGAATTGCAGGTTTTGGTTTTTTTTTTCCAGAACAGGAAGGACTTTTCCTAATCTTGAATGAAGGATGTGATGTAGATGAATGAAAGGGGAGTGGGGTGAGGTCTTGGGAGTGTGTGAATCTGGGGGTGGGATTGTGAGGAAATGGTAAAAAGTGGTAATGTTTCAGGCAGCAGCTTGAAGGTGGAAATTAAAATGGCATATTAGGTGTATATGTGGGTGGAAGAATGAGTAGCGACTCTAATTTAGGCAATTTTGAGTAGGAGATTAGTTGATGGTATGTAAGAACAGAGTGGTACAAGTTTCTAAGCAAGCAGTTTGCAGAACCCTGAAATTTAAAATGGTGGCCTTTTTACACCTAGGAATGCATTACTAGTAGAAGGCCTTATACTATATTGTTTGTGAAAGTGAGAAAATGACTGACACAAATGACTTTCAGAAAGAGAATTGTTCAAATGTAGTTTATACCATGGAGTATTACTTATTTTTATTGACACTGAGAGATGGTTATGATTCATTGTGCAGTGAAAAAAAGTGATTTGATGAAAATATATATAACTAGAGGCCTGATGCATGAAATTTGTGCAAGAGTAGGCCTTCCTTCCCCCAGCTGCTGGCACCGGCTTCCCTCTGGCACTCAGAACCTGGGCTTCCCTCTGGCTGCCAGCAGGCACCCGGGACCCAGGCTTCCTTTCCAGCCCCAGCTTCGTCCGAAAGTTCATCTGATATAATTAGCATATTATGCTTTTATTATTATAGATATGATTTTATTTAAAGATTAGGTATAATCATGTCAGTAAACATGGAAGTCTCCTGTGGACTGGATATTTGTCTCAGTACATGGGGTATAGTAATGAATCAAATAGACAAAGTTCCCCGTACTTGCAAGCTTACATTCTGAAGGGGAAACATACAACAACAGAAATCAGCATAAACAAGCTAATAGTATTATATATTCGGTGAGAAGTACGTGGATAAAAGAAAAAAGACCAACAGGATTGGGTGTGCTCATAAGGGAGGCAGAAATATAGTCTTAAGTGGGATAGTCAGGGTAGGCCTCAGAGAGAAAGGGAGAAATGAGCAAAGACCTGAAAAACAAACAAAAACAACACAAGAGGAAACTGTTCTGGATAAGAGGGAGCAACAGCAGCTAAAACGCAGGCCCTAAACACCAATGAACACTAAGGAGGCTGGTATGGCTAGTGTAGGGA